CGGGGCAGCAGAGCGGTCCGCAGGGACAGAAATGGGCTACGGTCTGCGCTTTCCCACGTGGTAGCCACTAGCCACATGTGTGAGGAGCTGAGTTTTAAATTGTAATTAATAACAATTTAGTTAAGTAGCCACGGGTGTCAACTTACCGAGATCCGTCTGATCTCGGAAGCTAAGCAGGGTCGGGTCTGGTTAGTACTTGGATGGGAGACCGCCTAGGAAGACCAGGTGCTGTAGGCATTAAAAAATAATAATAATAAGTAGCCACAGACGGCTAGTGGCTTCTGTACTGGTAAGGGGGCGTTGAGGGCAAGTCTTTCTGAGATCAAGCGCCAGTCCCTGCAGGCAGGCTGGGTGCCACCCCGGAGCCCCTGCTTTGGGGGTGTGGGCGGTGACCCCACAAGTTTCACTTCTCACAAAGCACCGGCACCCAGTCTTGCTGCTGCCGCTCGCGGTCCCTGAGCTACTCTCCCGGCAGCACCGCAGTAGAGTGACAGCTCGTTGCCGGCCTTAGGGCCGGGGTCAAGGAACCACGCGGGAAAGAACGCGAGACCGAAAATCAAGATTCTCTGGGCTCAGATGAACATTTTCGACATCCGAGAGCGCCGCGAATGCCACAGCTGTTCCTGAGCTCCGGTGCGTTAGGCTTTCGTACGTACCCCGTTTCTGTCGATGCAAGCCACGGCGGAAGTGTTGCTGGTGGCACTCTGAAAAACAAGAGGAGTCGTTCATGGCATGCGGGTGCACCTCGCCCCCTTCTGCGAACGCAGGAGGACGCCCTACACCGCGCGGACGCACCCCGACAGGCGCTTAACTGCGTCCCGACCCATCAGCTCGAGAAAGACCACGTTTACTTCTGATTTAACTCTGTTCCTAACTGAACCTAAAAAGGTCACAGTCAGGTCATCGCCATGCAACACGACAATGAGTCCGCTTAGGCGATTCATCCCGAGGGCGGCTTTGCCATTCGGTCAGAGCCCACTTTCCGTCTCTCTGCACGTCCTGCTAGGTGGGTACCATTTTCTCAAAAACGCATCATTCAAAGCAGTGCGAAGGGCCCTACCAGGGAGCTCAGGAGGGGCGTGCGGGACGTGGAGGGGCTGTGGAAGAAGCCGTGCTGCGGGATCAGGTACTCGTCCGCGTCCACCACGTCCTCCATGTCCTCCTCTTCCATGAGGGCGCGGTAGAAGTTGGAGTCCGTGGGGCTGGGCAAGTCCATTCTCTCGTCCCCCTGGCACAGAGATTTTGAGATGATTAGAAAGGCCCAGTGGCTGTCACTCCACCTTTCGGCAATAGGCGGAGGGGTTGACCGTCACAGTTGCCCGGATGTTTGCCGATTCCGTCGTAATAAAACACCCCTGCCTCCCTCAGGGGTGGCCGCTTCCTCCCCTCCCACTGTGAAATCAAAACATTAAAAATTCCTTAATGTCTAAAAGCCTCCGAATGACATGCAAAGAGCTGGGGAGGGAGGAGAAAGGGGCGAAGCGGCGGCATTTATGGGGTGCGTGCCACGCTTTTCGGTGCTGCGACGTTGTGATTTATAATAGGAAACACACACTGGGTCTTCATCTGCCGTCCCCGGCACGAAGCTCCTAAAGCCCTCAGAACTTTCTAAGCGTTGCGAGCCACAAAAGTGTCTTCCGTGACATGTTAAAGAGGTGACTTGAGAGCCACAAACAAGGACAGGGCCTGGTTTCTAGGACACCAACCACATGACTAGACAGCTGGAACTTTCAGGCCCCACCACTGACCGCCGGGGCGGGGAGAGGGGCTGGAGGCTGGATCGATTGCCAACGGCCAACGATTTAATCGATCATGACTAAATAATGAGGCCTCCATACACACTCACAAGGCTGGGGATCTGGGTGTCCAGGCTGGTGAGCACGTGGAGGTTTGGGGAAAGCAGCACACCTGGACAGGACGTGGGACCCCGCACCTCCCCGTCATCCTGCTCTGCACACCTCTGCTATCCTGGCCTTTCTGATAAACGCGCGATCTCGTGACTAAACGGGCTTCTGCGTGGGGAAAGCCGCTCTAGCAGACGCTAGGAAGGAACCGTAGGGACCTCTGATTCATGGCCAGTTGGTCAGACGCACAGGTGACAACCCGAACTTGCAAACGGCATCAGTGGAGGGAGGGGGTCCGCCTCGGAGGTCTGAGCCCGTAACCTGTGGGATGGGTGCTCTCTCCGGGTAGTGCCAGAACCGAGCTGGCTTGTGGGCCAGCCCCGGTGCTGGGGAATTTGCTCGCTTGCTGGTTTGGGAAAGTGCCTTCTCTCTCGTCCTCTGCCTGTGCACACATCAACACACACTGGGCGCGCCCGGCAGAACCTCTGGGTGCTGTGCGATGTAGTTTGCGTATGTGAGCCGCTTTGTCGACTCTGTAACAGAGCCCTGTGAGCTGGGTTTGTTAACTTAGCGGGGTAAGCGGAGAATCGCAGACTGGAAGCCAGCTTCGCCCAACACCCAAGCCACGCTTCTCCACCAGACCGAGCTAAGGCTTCGACCCGCTGACACGTGAAGGGGACATGTGGCACCGGGCGTGTGGGAGGCTGTGTCTGGACACGGGAGGTCGGACAGGAATGGCAGACGGAGTCGGAGGGCACCACACACGAACTCGGTTCACAGTGTGGCCTGCGCCTGAACCACGGCTCGCTCCCATGCACTGAGGATTCAACGGCACGGCCTGGGACTCAGTGTTGGCGCGTGATGGACAACAGTGACACGTGACGTGCATGAGAGGGACCTTTCCCCAGGGAAGTGCAGACCGTGGCCTGGTACCTGGATGACAAGGAAGCGCTGGGGGTCTCGGGCCATTTTGCAGAATTCGAGGACCAACTCACGGAACTTGGGGCGACTCTCTGCATCTATCATCCAGCCTGGAGAAGGAAGGGGAAGAAACGGTACAGTTAGGACCCTTAGAGGGACGATAAAAATGGCATCGCTTAAGGGAAGTGTTTACAGCGAGACCCTCTCAGACCAAGAGACGACGAAGAAAGAAATCTAACCTCCGTTAGACTTTTCAGCCTTGACAAACTGGCACTGATTGCTAAGTAAAGATCAGAACACGATGCCTGCGTATCAGCATGACAAGAACCTCTAACTTTCTGCACCTGCTCTTCCTGCGGCCAGCATTCTGGCCTTACCTCCTTAAGTGGCCCAGCAGCCCTGCAGGCATCGCTTCGTGTGAACTGCTCAGGTTGTGGGTGCCTCGATGTCCAGCCTCGCTTGACATTCGCTCAGCAACCTTGCAAGCCCGCCCCCAGCAGGGAAGTTTAGGGACTTTCTTTAAGAACCCCGGGGCTCGGGAATTCCTCACTCCTGCGCTTTCACGGTATTACAGACGCCGTGCCCATGCACGCGACGAGGGGGTTTCACGGCCTGCTCAGGAGGACACTTGCTGGCCAGGCTGGTGCACTGGCTTACACAACCATCTAGTCTGCATTAAACAAGCTGGGGCGGGGTGGGGCAGCTATCCCTGGACATTCTCGTGCCTCTCGAGGGTTCACATTTATGTTCTATCAGCAGGACATCAGCCTGTTCTAGGCCAGACTGCTACATGACCTTAGACAAATAGGCACCTATCCCTGGACATTCTCGTGCCTTTCGAGGGTTCACGTTTATGTTCTATCAGCAGGACGTCAGCCTATTCTAGGCCAGACTGCTACATGACCTTAGACAAATCATGTCAGCTTTCTGGATGCCAGCTTCCTCAGCCCCAAGCAAGGGGGTTAAAAGAGGTGAACCCTGTGGTCCGGGGTTCAGAAGGGCATCAACATCCACGTTCACTCTGTGCCACCCCGTCCCTGTGCTGCCTTCTCGGGCAGGTGCTCGTCACATATGTATTGTCGCCTTCAGAATCCACTGCATCTGTGATTCTCGTCAGCCAAGCTACGTGCTCTTATTTAAATTCAAATGTTTACTTGCTACAGCGCAGGAAGACCTCACATAAATTCACTATTTGAAAGGTTTAAGTCAAAGCAGAAATGTTGTTTCTATTAGCCTCATGTGGTTACTCATCACTAGGCATTTAAAAACAAGTCAGTCTCTCTGGTAACAGACTTCAAAACGTGGGGCGGCTTTTTCATTGAGCAACTCAGAATAGAATATTCCGGTGCAATGGCTTATGGAGGGCTCGGATTTTATTTATTTGCTTGCCATCACGGGCAAATGTCAGGTCACGATGCTCGATGAGTCAAGCAAGTGTCTCCTGAAGAATGTCTGGGGGAGCACTGACACATGCTTTTGGACCCGAGTGCCTGCTGTGAAGAATATGACAGCGCTTCTTTGGGGAACTCTAAGGTCTCAATTGTTTGGCTCCAGGCAGCGATGCCTTTCCGAGCACGGCAAGGCCCTCTGAGAGCCAGGTGCAGCCACGCGCGTGCGGATGGCCCCGGCCACTCACACTTGACCATGATCATGTAGACGTCGATGGTGCATATGGGCGGCTGCGGGAGGCGCTCTCCCTTCTCCAGCAGGGCCGAGACCTCGCTCGCCGGGATGCCATCATAAGGCTTGGACCCGAACGTCATCAGCTCCCACACGGTGACACCTGCGAGAGCGAAGCAGTCGCTTTATGAGTCGGTAATCACAACGGCTTGTCTTTAAGTCATCGCTCTTGAGACCGGGTCTCAACCTGTGTTTAACGACCTGTGTGTCCGGGGCCTTGGCAATTTGCTTCAATGCTGGAAGCCTCAGTTTACCTCTCTGTAATGTGGGACAAAGACAGGGTCTGTGTCTTAGGATGGTTGTGAAGATCAAATAGGATAATACAACTGGAATGTTTAGACAATGCCAGGCAAATAGTAAGTGGCCAATAAATGGTAAACTTTAGTCATCGCAGCAAAGACAACAGAACCGTGCTAGCAACATAAATATTATCACGCAGGGTAGCAGGAGTAGCACACTCCGACGGCTGCCCTAAGCGACTTGGAAGTGGAGGGATGGATTACAAACAAGGTTAAAAACTGTGGGTTTTTAAATAATAGAAGAAAATTAGAAACAAAATATCTCTGTTCTTTGGATAAACATAAAAACCCTGTACTTTTTGTTTCAAAATTAATCATCGTGATTACAAAGAAAATCAAAGCCGTCGTCCTTTGAGAATCGGTGTTTTTTCCAGACCATTCCCGAGTTCCGACGGTCTCTGTGCCTCTGTGCCTGGAACTCGCTGCTCTAGCAATGTGCAAATATCTCAGGGAGCGCGTCCTCCCCTGGACAGCGAAGGTGCCCTGTGGTGCCACTAGAAATGACCTCAGTGGGACTGAGCCTGGATCCCCAGACTCCATAGGGAGGAATCAGACACAGGACCCGGGCCGTCCCCAGATCTCCGATGGGTCCGATGACCCATTTTCTCTCGAGTTGGCCTCCAGATCCAGATGAGCACAAACCCGGTTGGATTTTCCAGAGGCCATTGCAGAATGAACTGACCCGGATTAACATACAGAATTCACAGCTGGAAGATGAAGAAAAGCAAGGAGCCAGCGCCAGAGAGGAGGGGCTTCTGGCCTTGCCCAGCGCCCCGTCAGTATGGACTTGGGGAGGAAGGGAGACCCCATTCCCAGATCTGAGGTCGACGATTCCCATCTACCTGGGTTAACCTGATTCCCATCTACCTGGGTTAACCTGATTCCCATCTACCTGGGTTAACCTGATTCCCATCTACCTGGGTTAACCTGATTCCCATCTACCTGGGTTAACCTGATTCCCATCGACCTGGGTTAATCTCGTGTTTAACGTGCATGATGAGTCCCCAGGGGAAGGTGAGCCCTTCGGGGTTTGGAGTAAGCGGTGACAGGGAGGGGAGCGTGTGTACCTGGTTGTTGGTTATGAGCGGGACTGGAAGGTGGTACTAATCCCCTCTCTTTTCAACCCCTAAGTGGGACACGGAGCTCCCTAATTTGTTAAAATTCTTTGCCTTGACCGGAGACTGGGGAGTGGAGTAACAGGGTATGTTTTTTAAACTAAAAATTCAGGCTCACGATCCGGCAAGTCCAGGGTGTGCAGATCATTGTCACCGACAGCACGGTTCCCCCCTCCCCCAGTGAAACACACGTGGCCACGATCCGATGCCGGCCGTGGTCACGCTCAGGTGCTGAGTCCCTGAGGTTACGAGAGTTTTTGTTTCCTTGACAAGTGTGGACCAAGTGTGGACTGCAGGTTGGCCCGGGCTGGCCGGAGCGCCGAGGGCGAGGGGCGGATGGAGCACGTGACCCCGGAAAGGCAGGGGAGCCAGGGCATTTGCGGGCTTACGGGCCCTGGTCGGGGTTCGGATTTTAGTTGGGACGTAGTTGGAAACCAAGGAGGGATTTTTAGGCAGGGGAGGAAAAGTCTGATGTGGTTCCCGGTGTGTGGAGGTCTGGAGACCAGGTGTATGGAGTGTGCCAAACAGGAAGGAGCGCTTGCCGCAGCATCCCCGAGGGAGGCAGGTGGCTTGGGCCAGCGTGGTGACAGCGAACTCGGTTCTGGGGAGGGTCCCGGAGTGGGAAAAAAGCACTTCTTTACCCTCGTTTTGGAGGTAGACATATTTTGAAAATGGCTGAAAATCACAGGGCATCAGAAGAGCTGTATTTCCTATCTAGTTCGTTAATTGCAGGCAGCTTAGCTCATGGGTACACGTAAAAATTCTTCACAAAGATCCCTGCCTTTGTAAAGCTTGATTCTAGAAGAAGACATAGACAAACACCCACGAAATTAAAAAAAAAAAATATCCATTTGGAATAGGAGGAGTTAATAATGCTATGAAAAAAATACTAAATGGGCGATACCCTGAATGATTTTGTTTTTGTGATAACGACTAACCTTCTCTTGGAAACCCCTTTTATTACTGCTCTCCCCAAACGCACATTGCTATGGAGCTGGCTGGGGTGGCTCCTCCCCTTCACCCCCATTTCTTTAATAGCTGGGGATAGGCTGATAATTCACAAATAAACATAGCAGATAAGGAGCTGGCAACCTTTTAGCAGGTGGCTGGACGACATGCGAGGGCGCCTAGCTAAGCAGTCGGTGAAATGCGTGATGGACGCTTTCTTAAAAGGCGACGCCCGTGCAGGCTCAGGAAATTCTCTGGACCAAGGCAAGGAGGTGAGGAGGTGAAGGTGAGTCTGAGAAGCGGGAAGCGCCTGGGAGGAGGACGGGGCTCAGGCCTGTGCCAGGTGCCTGGGGCGTGGGGTTTGGGGCGGGACTGGAATCGGCCGATGACTGACCCTCACGAGCACCGGAAGCAACGCGATCTCTCTCTCCTTACTGGTTTCCCACAGACGTGTCCTCACGGGGCATTTTTGTCCAGCTGTTCTCTCTGATGCACAGAGATGACCACGCGCTCCATGAAACACTAGCCGCTGAGAGAGTCCACCATGAAACCTCGCCTCCCTCCCGGAGACTCTGCCCCAGCAAGCCACATTTGTCACTGCCCTCGGTCTCGCTTCAAATTCACGGCCAGAGGGCGAGTCTGGTTTGGCAGTGTGGGCTCAGGCACTTCTAAGTCCAAGTTCTCCCCACCGTTACCTGCTCTTGACAAGTTCGCTGACATCTCCAGAGACAGTTAGACTCAATTTCCTTTGTCATGTTTTCATGGCTTAACAGACAGAAGCAACTGTTACATTATTTTTAGTCAGCGTCCTGGATGGCGGAGCATATAATGCAAAGCAACAAACCGCACCAGCCCACTCAGCTCAGTAGAAAGTCACCAGCGCGAGGGTTTTGACTCACCATAGCTCCAGACGTCACTTTGGTGGGTATAAATTCGGTGTAAAATCGATTCCAAAGCCATCCACTTGATAGGCACCTTGAGGTGACAAGAGGTAAAGTAATAAGACAACTCCTAGCTTCCCTCTGGTGAGAAGCATTGAATGGCGGTGGGACAAAGCACAAGGGACGAACGTGGGAGGCCAGCCACCCCCACCCCAATCCCCTGTGCCCAGTGCTGTCCCAGCCAAAGGAGCAGGTTTTAAATCTGGCTGAGGACAGGGCTGTTCTGTTAGGCCCCAGAGCTGGCAGCTGAGGGTCTTTGGGCTGCGGGTGTCCTGGTGAGCTGGGTGCCCGTGCTGGCAGCTGGGGGCCTGGTCCTGCCCTGTGGCCCTGCCCACCCCATGTCCATGGGTGTTTGCTGGGGCCAGCTGCTCGGAGCCACGCAGGCCAGAGTGAAACGTTAGAAGGGTCCAGCTGATCTGAGCGTTTTGAGGGTCTATCAGGAGACGTGTGCCCCTCCCTGCTGGGGTGTCTCCTGGAGAGCCCCCAAACCTGTCTGGGGGGGCCAACTCCAGCTCTCACAACGCCTCGGGGAGCTGTCCGTATTGCTGAGGTGTCCCTCTAGAGCACTGCGCCACCATGAGCTGCAACATGGCCCAGCTGTTCTGAAGGGCGCTTTATCCTGCAGGGGGCGCTGGAACCTCCCCTGGCTAACCTCGACGTGGAGCTGAACTCACGTTTACTGCCTTTGGCCCCCGGAGGCGTCAGCACTACCCACTCTCCCAGCAAGGCCTGCTCCCAGAGCTGCTGGGACAGAGGGCCCTGCCTCGCGGGACCCAGCCGAGGGTGGTGGCGGCTGTGACCTCGCCCAGACCAGCTGAGAATGTCCGCACCCCCGCCGGGCTGCGCGGGCGCATCTGCGGGCCGCCCTCACCTTGCCTCCCTCCGCGTGGTATTCCTTCTCCTCGGCGCCCAGCAGCTTGGCCAGCCCGAAGTCTGTGATCTTGACGTGCTGTGGCGTCTTCACCAGGACGTTCCTGGCGGCCAGGTCACGATGCACCAAACGCCGGTCTTCCAGGTAGTTCATGCCCTGAAACGCGGGAACATGGGGTGAGGGCACGGACGCCAGCTGGCCCCCGGGAGAGCATGGACTGGCTGAGGGCTGAGGGCGGAGGCGCTATGGGCTCAACCTTGAACTGCCCTTGACGGACACAGTAACCCGCGCCTTGCAAACGCGAGACGCTCTCCACGGAATGGACGAGAAGGCAAATAAATACATGAAGCTACAAGTAGCTGCTGATTCTTTAACTTTTGTCCACCCAGTTACTCGGGTTTCAAACTCAGATGAACCACGTGGAAGAGAGCAGTGACGGCCAGAGCCGAGACCAGGCCAGCTCGCCTTCCCTGCGCTCGGCGGAGCCCTACGGGGTTGGGTGCTTGTCTGAGCAGGGACCGCTCGCTGTCACCAGGCTTTCCTGCACCACGTCACATGACTCACTACCAATGCAGGAGACTTGTCCATTTCCCCCCCATCCCTCTCCCTCTCTCTCTCTCTCTCTCTCTCTCTCTCTCTCCCCTCTCTCTCTCATTCAGTGCCTCGTCACACATTTCCTGATGACGGCCTCTGAGGTTGGCGCTGTGTAGCTATTGTACATTCACATAGTAATGACCGCACATAAGTCCCAATAACATACAAAAGAGGCATAAGAACGGCACAGATCGACTCCCCATTAAACCGAGTGGAATTCGGAGCCTGCCGCGTGCGTGGTTACACTGAACCTCGTCTACCTGCCCCAGACCGGGCCTCGGGGACCTAGAGAACAAAGGACAATTCCTGCTCACTCATGTCTTTAAGGCTCACCCACACCACGAACGGAAAACGGGAAAGACTAAGCTACCCTGCCCAGGTGAAAGATAAGCCCAGCCATTCATTCCATTCCTTACTCACGATAATCGGTAATTTTTCACGGAAACTGAAAGAACGTATATAAAGCCGGCCCTTTGGAGGCGGGAGGTCCCTCTGATTCTGAGCGGAGACCTCGCCCTGTCTGCGGAGCGTTCTCTCTCCTCCAGCAAACCCTCCTTCGCCCGTGACCCCGGCTCGTTGCTGAACTTCTTCCCGCGTGGTGCTGGGGGCCCTCGCCGGGCGCGGTGGGGCTCGAGTCCACGCTGGGGGTGCACCCTCCTCTGTCACCCACCTGTCACCTCTCCCTGTCCCTCTCTCTCCCTTTAAAGGTGGTGTTTTCTGTGAGTTCATTAAACCCACAGGGAGGCCTGCAGAGGGCATTTCCAGCCTCATCTAACCATCATCGCTAACGTTCATTCTGCCTCCTCCAAGGCCTGAGGAGGGTCCTGTCTGCCAGACGCGTTCTTATAGACGCTTGTTGGTGACTGGCCGACTGACCGAATGAGTAATAGTACCAGCTGAGAGTTTCGAGCTGCCCATGGCCAGCATGTCAAACACTGCTGTGTAGAAGCCTCTTCTAGAAGGTGCTGGCAGCCACATGGCCACCCCGAGAGCCGACCCAGAGCAACCAGGGGCTGGGATGGTGCTCCACAGACCAAGTCCTCTGAGTCCCCAGGCCCACTGTCCAGACTGTGTCCTCAATTTCCTGCTTCCAAGTGAAACTCGCCTGCTGGCCCAAAGGCTGCTTGGGAGGTAATAAAACAAAGCAGAACAAAATAAAACAAAACAGAAACTAACAGCCCAGCCTGTTGGCCCTGTGCCGCTGAGTGGGTCCATGTCTCCTGTAAACCGCCCGCTTCTTGGGTCTTTAAGGGACCAGAGTGACTGGAGTAGGTCGTGACATTTTCTCTGAACAGCAGTCTGCAGAGCAGGCTTGGGAAAGGGGGGACAGGGGCAGCTGACGCGTCCTGGAGCGCACGGCTGCTCGGCCAGGGGGCTGAGAGCAGAGCGGACTCTGGGACGAGGACATCACACGCATTTGAACTTTGATAACACTGTTCACTGGTCCCACGGTCTAGAGGCCGTTGGAAAGGCCGCCTCGGAGCCCAGCAGGGTTACATTTTAACCAGTCGCCAAAGATAAGAGCTCGTAAACTCCCAGGATCTGAGCAGAGACGCCACAGGGAGCAATGTCGGCTGGGCTTCCTGGGGCCTCTCGGGAAACTCGATTTCTGGTTCTCCCCCGAGATTCTCGTTTCAATGTCACGCGACATATTTACTTTTGTTAATGACGACCGGACAGCTAGGATGGGGTTTGAAATCCTAGGCGAGGTCAAAGGGAATCTGCGGAGCCAACCTGGAAGCCCCGTGCCCAAGAGGGGAGCACGTACGACTTCACGCGGCACCACACATTTTTCCGGCAGGACATCAATGGAAGAAGGAAGGACTGGGCGTGCTGGGGTGACATGTACAGACTCTGCGTTCCCGGGGGCTGCTGCGCCCTACGACTCCTGGGAGGAGCCCAGAGAGAGGCTGAAATGAGATCCGCTCTGTTCTCTTTCGTAAACCGCCACGTGGAAGTGGCAGGAAGGAGGCGGCGGGCAGGCCGGCAGATGGTTCTGGTGGCGACCGGTCAGCACGGCTCACCCCTCCCACCTCCTGCTCTCAGGAGTGGCCGGGAGGTGCTAGAATGTCCTCGTCCAGAGAAGTCCAGTGGCACTGACCGCACCTCCCAACGCGCGGGACGGGAGGACAGCTCGGCTCACCGGCCTGGGGCCTCTGCTCCGAGCCGGGGTGCCGACTGCTGGGGAGGGGCCTGAACTTGGGAGCAAGGGTGCCTGGGGCCAAATCCTGATTTTCCTACTTGCTAGCTGGAGAGCTTGGCAAGTGACTTCAACACCCGAGGCTTTGTTTTCCCACATTAAAATATGCTTGAAAAATGAATCCTTTGGACTAAATTTTTCTTGCCGTTTATCCTTAAGTTTTATCTCACTCAGATTAAACAAAGCTTGGTGCTTACAAAGGCGCGGTCAGAGAACGCTGCTCTAACAGAAATTTCTCTCTGAGACCGTCTCCCTGCCCCGCCGGCCATCTTCCAATCTCACAGGGCCTGCTCTCGAGGCTCTTAAACTTGTACCATTTGTCTGAAAACTTGATTCTGTGAGGTCTCATCTGGGGTACTGAGAAGAGAGCTCTGGTGTCTGAAAGGCTGGGGAAGATGTAGCCCATGCACGGTCTCGACGGCTTTATTTATCCTAGGACTCCGCCCTGACCTCCCCTGTGGTGGCCGTAGGGACGAGTGTGGCACAGTCACGGTATTTCCCGAACTGAAGTGATGACAGGATCTTTTGCATTAGAAGATTTCGTGACATTGCTGTGCCATGTTATCCGTTTTAGGATCTACCAGCGGGCTCGTACAGCCAGGATGAGAGGCGATGCTTTCCGAAGCACCTGAGTTACTCCCGCTAAGTGACCCATGACCTCATGAGCCAGGAGTTCAGGAAACTATGATCTTTCCGATTGGCGGGCAGGGGACGTCCCCATAAGGTCCTGTGATGGAGTTTTTTATCTGGAGAACAGAATACGTTTCCACCATGTATGGCGATGGGGTGTGGCTCCCTTCTGTGCTCCCCATTGTGACCTGATTTCCCCCGCTTTTTCCTTTTGTCCTGGGTGATATAATTTTATTTGTTCTCTTAGCAGCTTCGCCTGGACAATAAACTTGCATAACAGCGGTCAGCTTTCTCTCAATATTTAGAGAACTTCCCAAGACAGCCCACGCTTTGCTGAATCAACACAGGACATTTATAAGTCAATAAATCCCACTTTGAAAAGGCCAAGTTTCAGCTTCTGGTCAGCCACTAAGTGCTTCCGGGTAGTTTCACTTCAAACTCTCACAAAGAAAATTGTTTAACACTTGGGTAAATAGCCACTAAGCCGAGAGCAAACTTCTCTCTCTGCGATCGAGGAAACCGTTGTTTCTCTTTCCGTCCAGCGACAGACACTGCGTCACCACAGCTGCGGGTTACGGTTTGGGGTACGGTTTCTCTCGCGGACGAGAAGGCAAATCTGTCGCAGAGAGCTGACGGCCACAGCGGGAAAGGACTTTGACTCAGAGTAAAGCCGAACCGAGCACAAGAGGCAGAACGGTGGATTTTAAAGAAGAGGTTGAAGCCGTGTGGAGCATTGTCCATCGCGGCCCGGCTTCGAACACCTTCTGGCCCCGGAGACCCAGCCGGGAGCTGTGGCCGAGTCCTCGCCTGCACGCAGAGCTGCCGCTTTCCGTGTCTTCTCCGCAGGCTTGCGGCAGGCTGATTTGGGGGGCCGGGAAACTTCCATTTGTGCGGACACCTGCGGTCGGGCGGATGCCAGTGAAAGATTGCAGGGGAGGGAGGGAGGGAGCTGGAGAAGAGGAGGAGACCCTTGAACAGGGGATGCTGCTCGAAGCCGACGCAGAACTAGATCGGAACATGGTGTGGGTGAGATTTCCGTCCTCGCCTCACCCCAGTTTAGCCAAAATCCGGGAAGGAGTCGGAGGAAGGGGGCGCGAGCGAGCCCCAGCTGCGTGGCGGGCCCTCCGCGTGCCGGCCTCACGAGCCAGGAAGACGGGTGGCAGAAGCCCATGCGCAGCCCCAGAGACTTGGCGCTGAAAGACGAGGCCACTCGTCTGCGGTCGCGTGGCCCATAAACGCCAGGATGGCGCTTTGCTCCTGCAGTCCAGCGACCGGAACCGTGAGCCCAGCTCTGTGTGGGGCAAGACTTGCCCAGGTGTTGTGGACCATCGTGCGAACAGAGTCGGCACGAGGTCGTTGGTGGCGACATGTTAACCCCTGGCAGAGCGGGCCTTCCAAGCCAGGCGGGAGGAGCTGGCCAGGGGTGCGCAGAGGGCTGGACGCCACCCAGAGAGCTCACCTCCCCGCAGGGTGGGTGGGCACAAACTCGAGTGAGCAAGTGACCATCGGATCTTCCCAGGGAGTGACCTGGGCTAAAAGGAAAACAGCCAGGAGCTGGAGACGGCGTGGCTTCTGGCTTCCTGCCACGGCCGGATGACCAGGGCGAAAGCTGGGTTCGGGCATCAGGACATGAGTGGACCTTCAGGAATAATTCTAGATTCAGTCAAACCCATCTGGGGCTCCCTAACTCTTCCCTCACTGCCGTGGGCTGAATAGGGTCCCCCCACTCCCTACATTCAGAATGTGAACTTACTCGGACATAGGGCTCCGCAGATCTAATTAGTCAAAGATCTCAAGACAAAGTCAGCCTGGGTTGAGGGATGATCGGTGTCTTTGTAAAGCAAGGAGGGGGTGGTGGCAACAGACCCAGGGGAGAAGGCCCAGCGAGGATGGAGGCGGAGACCAGCACGATGCCGCCACCACGGTGACGGCGAGGAGGGCGTCTCCCCGCAGCCCTGGGGGGGGACGGCCCTCCCGACACCTTGGCTTTGGCCTCTGACCTCCAGAAGCGAGGGGGAATCGGTTTCTGCTGTGGCAAGCCGCCGCATCTGCTGTCACTGGTATGGCAGTCGTGGGAAGCGACCACGATCACGCACAGAAATAACAAGCGTTTTCGCGAAGCCTCAGCCTCCGAGGTTCACACGTGAGTGACACGAACACCAGGTGACAGCAGTGGTCAGAGGAGGCGCGTTCCCACTTCTGGGGGGCTAGGGGGCCAGTGGCTGCAGCTGCGAAGTGAACGCCCCATGGCACTGGATAGACAGCCACGTGCCACCGTCGGGTTCTCCGAGGGGGCGGGGGGCGGGGGCTCCCGCTGCTTAGCCAGCCTGGCTCAGAGCCTCCATGTCACCTAGGGGCCTGCCTCACACAGTGCCACAGCCCCTAGCAAGAGCCCGTCTGTGGCATCGCGGCCACTCACCAGCCGAGCAGCCCACAAACGTCTTTGTCCTGTACATCACCTTCCGCATCCTCTGGGGGTTGAGTGAGCAGGCTCAGCGCACCCTTGGGAGTAACTACGCAGGATCGACTGCCACTCCTGACCAGGGTGAGGCATGAGGAAAGGTCGGGCCAAGGGGATGGTCTGCTCCCAGCCGCACCCCTCAGCACCCCGCCGTTGTCTGAGGGTGACGAGGAGCATTGCAGGCTCCCAGAGGGGCCGCCCACACGTTCCCGACCTTCGCTGCGTGAGGTTTGCCCACGCAGGAAATAATAGAATTCGGCAAGATGGGTTGCGAATCACTGACGCAGGGTTAGGATCGAGCCGGAGAGGTTCGAGGTGACACTAAAAGTCCTTCTGAGGCCGCATGGACAGACTGACACCTGCTTCGCCACCCTGGTCCTGTCCTCTGTGCACGGGCCCGGTCCCCGTCTGCACTGCCCCCCCCACCCCCCCGCCCCCGCTCTGGACCAAGCCCGGCCAGGTGGCAGAGGCATCTGTCAGCCTCCTCCAACCTACACGCTGGGCCTCAGCCCAGCATCTGCCCCGTCCACACGGCCACCTGTGTCCTCCCTCGAGGCTCAGGCTGCTTTGCTCGCCTTGTTGTCAAGTCCTGTCTGGGTGCAAGACAGCTCTCTTCCGCCAGAAACCCCCACGGCGCCCCACAGAGAGAACGTCAGAGAAGCGAGAATGCAAACGTCGAACCACATGGAGCACCCAACAGAGAGGAAGCGGTCCAAACGCGGCTGGATAATTAGATTTCCAGGGTGCGGCGGGGCTGTCACTAATGATGGCACCGTCCCAGGGTGAGGGTCACCAGCAGCCGGCTGAGGCG